GGGTGCCTGGTGCAGCTCAGCCCAGAGGAACCCGCCAGGAGGAGTGTGTTTAGTACAAGTGTTTATTGTCCTTTCCCCAGAGGGCACATCCAAATCAGGCTCCAGCCCCTAATGAGGTTAGTTCACATGCGTTTAACACCAGCTCTTCTACCAGTACCGTTACAGCCAAACATTAAAAGCCCTCCCCCCTTCCCCAAATATTCCCTGGAAGGAAGTTTCCAACAGGGAGTAACGCAGTCACACGGAACCCGGGTTAGGGCACTGAAGGGAATATACAGGTTATCTTTAAAAGACACAGTGAGTCGCTGCTATCAAGTAAGACCCCGGGGCTCACCCAAGGGGCGGCCTGGCTACCCCAACTGTTAGCCAAAGCAGGGATGAGGGAATGGATAACCACAGCCAGCAGCACAGGAGGCTGCTAACTGCAGGGAGAGAAGGGTTAAAGGATAAGCCTTTGCTCTCTAGAGCAGCCAGTACCGAAATAGGCAGCCAGAAAAGATCCATTTCAGCTCATGCTGGTTCCTCCTGGCTCCTTGAAGCCCTGGCAGGACCATGCCCCCCCCAGGACCACATCCTGCCCCTGGCATGTTCCTATCCCTCTCCCAGGGGGTTTGTAGCTGTCCTGCAGAAGGAGGGGAGCCCACCCCAGCCCACCAGTGCTGGGGAGCTGAACAGCCAAAAAGAGCCTTCAAACCAGCCCAAAACCTGCTACCAACATGCACCGCAGTAAAACCCCACCGGAACAGAGGCAACGGGGTCAAACTGCACCTCTGCCCTGCAGAGAACTCATAAAACCTGGGAGCAAAGCAAAGGAAAACCAGCAAGGACAAAGCATCCTTAATTCTACAGCCCCCAAACCTGGGGCAGCGGCGAGGGGGACAAGGGGAGCCGGCTCCATCCATGAGGAGCGGGAGCTGGCATCACTAGTGGTTGGTGCTGCATTGCTACGGGAGCAAAGGAGCCACCCATGGTCCCAGGCTGGGTGCTCCAGGGAGCTGGAGATGGCTCCTATCCATGGCATAAAACATCCCCGAGTGGGGAGGGACCGGAGGAGCCGACGTGAGGGTGTGAAGCATCTCCAGTCTTCCCAGTGTTCAGCCCTGGAGTCACTGTCAGCCATCGGAGAGGAAGACTTGAGTTGGAGAAGGAGCTGCCAAGGGGGAGAGGAGGGTGCAGGGAGCCCGGGGGCCTCCCCACTGCCGGGGCTCATCCTCCAGCCATTGCCGGGTTTCCCACCACGTCTGTCCCAGGTCTCTTTGGTTTCCCATCACCGGAACGCCGGTGGCATGGTCTCCTCCTGCCGGGAGCCGCGTGGGGCGAGCCTTAGGCCGGGACCTCGGTGCTGTGGGGCCGGATGTGCTCATCGGTGACCGACAGGTAGGTGGCTCGCATGCTCGGGGAGTACTGCGGGGACAGGACAGGGGGGTCAGTGTCCCCCAAACCCATGGTGTGACCCATCAACACAACCCCTGCACCACCATGTGCTGCTGAGCCGCCAGAGAGAGCCTGAGGATCAGAGCAGGGAGCTTAAAGCTCATCCAGTTCCTGCCCCACGGGCAGGGACACCTTCCACTAGAGCAGGTTGCTCCAGGCCCCTGTGTCCAACCTGGCCTTGAACACTGCCAGGGATGGGGAGGCCCAAGCTTCTCTGCACTGGGAGCTGCTCTAAGGTCTCCCCAGAGCCTTCTCTTCTCCTCTTCTCCAGGCTGAACCAGCCCAGCCCCATCATGCTCCATCCTTCTGATGGAGACATTGAAGCAGATTAAACACTGTCAGAAAACGAGGGGTGAAAACTGCACCAAGAAGGGGATGGAGACAGGGACCATTTCCACTCCCAGCACACAGGAGCTGCAAATCCTCTCATACCTCCCGAGCCCTCCGCACTCTTCCCAAAAGCAAACCAGCTCCATAGAAAAAGGGATGGAGGGGGGCACTGCGGAGGGGAAGGAGGATGGGAACCCAGGGCAAGGGGGAAGAAGGAAGTGGCTGAACTTACTCTTGATGGGCAACTTAGCTCCAAAAGAATTGATGCAAATAAAAATGAAAAGAAGGAAATAAAGCAAATAAAGCAGGTGTTAAAAACCAGGGAGGGCTCAAACAAGCTGCAGGGAATGGGGACGTGCAGGGGTGGCTGTGACAAATGTCCTTTCAAAGTCAGAATGAAGAAGAAATAAAGCAGAAGAGCAAGTGAAGGGAAGACTATTTCGGTCTCCTCCAAGCACGTGGCTGCTGACCTCTCCCCGCAGCCTGGCGGGATCTGGGTTAGTGAGACGGGCAGCAGGGATGCGCTCATGGAGAGGGCAGGAGGAGGGGGCTGAGCTCACCCCATCCACCATCAGTGCCACAGTGAGCGGCTTCCCAGCGGAGCAGGGGGGCTCTGTGTCCCCCGGTTCCCTCCCTGCTGCCCCCCGGGGGTGTCACAAGAAGGATTTGGCCTCAGCCATCCACCGTACCGTGGGGGGAGGAGAGCCTCTGCCGATGAGGGGCACGTTCTCATAGCGTGGGTTTCCACCGAAGAGCACGGCTTGGTTCCTGAGAGAGGAGAGCCCGTCGGTGAGACCCCCCGTCCCCCTGCACCCAGTGTGGGGTGATGCTCCATCCCCGAGGTGTGGGGTACCCCCTGTCCCCC